AAGTCTTCTGGTGTGGTTTGGTGGAAGGGAAGAAGGGTGGGAGACCCTCTGACCCGTCCTTCCCGGGGGTGCTTCCCATCAGAATTGGGGGCGGATCTGAGCCAAATGGCACTGTGACCTGTAAGGTGCTCAGGGCTGTTGCCAACGACAGGCGCAATCTTGCGCTCATTGCCACGAGGAACTTCGTGGGCTTGAGCTGACTATGCCAGACAAGTCAGCAATAAGCACCACCACCAACAACAGATTTACTCCGTGTAAGGCTGCCAAAGCATTAAACGTATTTTTGAAATTAATGCAGCGTAATAAGCAAAAGGAACGGATAAGCAATGACCCTTCACAACCTTTTTTTGTAATGACGTTTTACTGAGAAGATGGACATTCGAATTCTGCAAAGTCTTCGTGGAACAGCAACACAGTGAGTTACCTTATACACACAAAGACATTTTTATGCCACTGACTTTATAATTTTGCATTCTAGAAGATTCATATTTGACAGATTATTGAAATTGTTTCTAAATAAAAACACATTTTAAAAAACTTAAGTACTTTATTTGTTCGCAACACACATGTTGTACAATTTACACACCGCTTCTTAATGGCAACGGAAGGCCTCTTGTCAACAACTTGCTGTTGGCTGCTCGTACGTACCCCTTTCTGAGAACAGCTGGCAGCTGATACACGTTCTTCTTTGCACGTTGTTGTCAGGAGACCAAGGAGGTATTTTCAGTCCGCAGAGTAGATCATCCTTGTTAAATACTATGAGAAAAATGATTCTTGAAATTGTCAGAATAGCAAGAATATATTGTTATGAATTTTGTATTCAGTTAGATAGTTTTAGTAGAATTATAATTAAAATTGTTTTATTTCTCCGTGCAATGCAGCACGAGACTTTTTTTTTAAGACAAAGCTACTCGGAAAAAGTAAAAATACAAGAGCACGTGCATTTAACACTGGATAAATGTATACTTCTTTTATTTGTATTGAAACAATAAATGTAATTGACTATTGTGTTAGCAGTAACCGTAATTCCATCCTCTTGTTGGTTTCTAGAAATCTCGAGAAGCAAAGAAATTACTAGAACTCTCTCGCGACCAGTTGACAGCATTAAAAAGCCGCAGAGAGACATCTTACTTTAATTGCTTAGTTACTGTATAAGGTATTTCTCCCTCCTTCTTAGCAGGCCTTGGTAGTGTAGTGGTCAGTACCCTGGACGAGTATTCCAGAGGTCCGTGGTTCGATTCCCGGTGAGGGTGTTGCTCGTTTTTCATCACTCCTGCTTTAAAAATAACCTAATGTCTTTACAACTGTTAATGCGGTTTGTTTAGTTCCGTGCGAACTGCGAATCCGAATTAGCTTTATCTTTGAACTGTGCTGTGTTTTAACTTTTTTTTTTTTTTTTTTGTATTTAAAAGTGTAGCTACTGATTATATTGCGTTATACTTTGAACACTTGTATGAATATCTCTGACGAAAATTTAAGCAATTTGTTATATTTCTTTTGATAAGAATAAATTTTATTAACCTTTTTATCGGACTCGTGCATTCGATCTATTACGAACCCGTACGCACGCAACAATATTATAATTTTTCATGTTCTGTGAACGTTTGATTATTGTGTGGTTTTTCACTGCGCTTGATCGATTACTAATGCTTTATCGAAACATCGTAAATATTAATAAAATAAAAAAATTATCTACCGAAAGTATAAATTCATAAGAGAAAAAATATAAAAAATCTGAAAGCTTTCAGATTTTACATTACCCCAAAGCCAATTCACATTTTTTTTAACGTTTTGTGTGTTACCTTTCTTGACTAAATATCATGTTCTTCGCACATAAACCACAAAATTCAGTTCAACAGCGATATAGCAAAATAATTTTAAAAGGAGCCTATCTTTAGAATTTCCGATATACAGTCTCACGCGCTGGAGATAAAAATGTTTTTTTCTTTCACCTGTACAGTGTTGCCATTGCTCACTTTGAAATCATTGAGTTTGGCCCATATTCGGATGCAAAGGTACGTTATTCAAAATTTGAGGACTCTAGGTACCGTCGTTTTATCCCAATGCGAGAAACATGCATACATTTATGAAGGTTCTTCATTATTTAATTTCTTTAAATATAATGCAGGGCTCTAATATTCAGTGGCAACAATTTGAAAAGTGAACCGACATTGATAGTGAACCAACGGAAAATGCCAAAACGAAATTAATAGTCCTTATGGGTGAATTGCGCCCTTTGGGGATTAATAAATGAGCTGTAATCACATTCCCTAGTTGAGTCGAAGTTTTAAAATATAGTTTTTTGTCACAAACTACATTTAAAAATATTTGCAATTTCTGTGGAGGACTCTCACTACGCGTATGAGTATTATAAGCATTTAAGTTGATAGCATGATTTGTCTTGCTTAGAATGTGAGTTCGTAATCTATACATAAAATAATTTCAAACTTTCATTTATCAAATGCTGAAAATGCCGTTGATTCTGGGTTAATATTTTTTGAACTATCTGAAATGAAGTATTTCAAATCAAAATGTATAATATATTTATAGAGAATGCAATATATGAAGAAGGTATATGGAAAACAAAATATTAATCAGACTGAATTTATTTTAATTTGCACTTGGCAAATATCAGAGATTGGCCATTTTTGTTTTAAACAATATCATATAATGGTAAAATCAGCATGCAATAATTATTTCTTATGAAATTATCGTATAATAAATAAATTAGGGAGAAAAGTGAGAATGATACTGAGTTTTGCACCGATACATTTTAGATTTTATGTGTTTGCATTATAATAAAATGTAACTTATGCTGAAACATTTAGATATAAATTTAAATCCATTAATCAAATGTAGATAAATCCGATTTGTTAACATTTCCCTCTAAATAGTAGGTATTATACGTAAACTAGATATTGTAAAAACGTTGAAAAGTAAGCATAGCTTGAATTTCCAGCAGTTGTTAAAACAAAATAATACGTTTTTTAAGCTTTCGGTATGTCATCGCCATCTTTTTAGCCCAAATAGGCAATTTGCCCAGAAAGGGATATTGATTTCGTTTGGGCATTTTCCGTTGAAAACTTTAAATGGCCATTTCACTTTACAAACTGTGAAATGTTAGAGCCCTGTGTTATATTAAAAGAAAATTAAATAATGAAGAATCTGCATAAATGTATGTATGTTTTTCGCATTGTGATAAACCGACGGTAGCTACAGCCATCCACATTTGAATAACGGAGTCCTCCATTCGAATATGGGCATCTGGAAACCCAAATTTGGAATTTGTTTTATTATCTTTTTTCCTATTTTATGAAGCATTTATTGAGCTTTTGATTAAGAAACTCGTTGATTTCAAAGTCAGCAGTAGAAACACTGTACGAAAAAAATTTTTTTTTATATGCAGCGCGCGAGACTCTGTATCCGAAATTGTAAAGATATATACTTTTAAATATTTTTTGATATTGCTATTGAATTGAATTTTATGGTTTAAATGCGAATAAAACGATATTTAATAAATAAAGGTAACACATAAAATGGTAAACAAACGCTCCTATGGGCGTAATATAAAATCTGAAAGCTTTCAGATTTTTTTAAGATCGTTTTCTTAATGTTTATTATTTTATACTTATTTTTTTTATTAAACCGTAATTTCATAATGAAAAGGATTCTATGATGCTGATTACCCTATAATATGTTTATGTTCGATTTACCATATACCGGTTTATGATAAGTTGAAAATTTGTATATCTGCTATGGTAACATTAAATAAACTTAAACCTTGGACTTGATGAATTATTGCTATACTGCTGCTAAAACATTACTATTAATGACGGTATACATATCAGTTGTTACAGTCTTATTTCAGTTACTATAAATATAGCCGTTAAAACTATTTTAAATAACTCATAAGTTTATTAAACTATTTTAATTTCTCTGTCAAAGATACATAAATAATTATTATATAGAGATTAAAACATAAATCAGTGTGCATGTAGTTATCGTAAAAGTCAACTGCAAGTATGTTTTGTATATTAAAAATCAATACAAAACTTCCTCATATATAAGACGAAAATAAGTAAAATAATATTTAGAAGCATCATCGATTTCAAAACGTTGTATCCTTGTTATTGTCCATTCATTCGGATGTTAGAAGAATGGGAGAAAACAATGAATTGAAATAAACTACCGAGATATTGACAAGGTTCATATCCGGAAATTGCCTCGACATTTGTGTTTGGTTTGTGGCTTTTCGTGCAGAAGTTAAAGAAATCGAAGAAAAAGGTTGCCCAAAATAAAAACGATTACGAAGTACATTCCAATAACTTAAAATACTATAAAAGGTGCGTATTCCAAAAATCATACTAATTCCGGTGTGTAAACATCTTATCATCATCTTAAACCTTTGCATCACCTTTGCAAATTATCACTCACCTTTAAAATCGGGTAAAATTCAGCATTATACTGATTTTTAGAAGGCTACATGCGTTTAAAGATGATCAACATAATTCTGAGTTCACAGGGGCAATTGGCCAAAAATAACCATTAATTTCATTTTCGCATTTTGCGTTGATTTACTTTTCAAATTGTTACCACCCAATATTATCGCTCTGTATTGTAGTTAAAGGAATTAAATAATGAAGAATCTGCATAAATGTATGTATATTTCTCGCATTGTGATAAAACGACGGTACCTAGACCATCCAATTTTGAATAACATGCGTTTCCACCCGAATATGGCCATCTGGAAGCTCGAATTTGGAATTTGTTTTATTACCTATTTCATATTTTTTAAAACTTTTATCTAATTTTGAATAAAAATTAAACAATTTCAAAGCGAGCAATGGCAACACTGTACGGAAAAAAAATTATCTCCAGCCCGCGTGACTGTGTATCGAAATTCTAAAGATATGCCCATTTTAAAATTATTTTGCGAAATGAATTTTATGGTTTGCGTACGAAGAATATGATATTTATTAAAAGGTAACACACAAAACATTAAAAAACGCCCCTTTGGACGCAATTTAAAATCTGAAACCTTTCAGAATTTTTTTTCGGGTGGGAAGAAATCTTGTGCAGTAAGAGCTTTGACGAAAGCTATTGTAGACATGCTTATGTGTGTTGCTCAAGGTTGAGGACAAAACCTTTAAGCAACATATTTACAATTTACAAAATTGACGCTTGATTGCACTTAATAAAATATTTTGGTGAGCGGTGAGAAGTTAATAAGAAAAAAAAATCTCTTGGATATAATAAATAATTTTCTTAAATGTATTACAAATGAAAGTAATTTAGCACTGAAGAAAACAACCTACGACATATATTTCCTATCTTATTTAAATATATTAACACTAGTTCAAGCATTAAGTGTTATTCTGGCATCAAATGCTATTGAAAATTGCTTTCTTTTTATGGATAATTTCGTAATTAAATCTGTTTAAAAGAATTGTTATCTGTTCAACACAAAAATATGAAGAGCACCTAAGATTATTTCCTCACTTAACCTTTAAAATAACTGGAGCGTGAAGAAAGTCGCTTTAGGATTTGAAAGCAGATATATGTTTGACTCTGATTACTAACTTAATTATCAGAATGCAGTTTTAAATTGTTAAAATATTAGCTTCAAATTATATCAATAGCGTTTCAACATCTGAAATAATGGAGTGATTTTTTTTGCTTACGTAACAAAAAAACAGTAGAATTACTGAGATAATATATCATGTATTGACAGTTTGTTGAGATAAATTCGTGTATAATTAGAGGTATATAATAAGAGATAATTATAGAGTCATGTATAATTAGACCCGTATCGTTGCATGAAATTATGTTATATCCGATATAAAGAAAGCATTAATGCAAATGTTTTGCTGCAGTGGTATTTAATTTTTAAACGTAAAATGCTCAACAGATAAAAAGAAAACATTCCTGTGTTAAAATTATTATTTCAGTTACATTATGAAAAACTTATAGGCACGCGCAATCTATGAAATTAGAGTAGTTTGTAGTTTTACGTTTGGCTTCATTAACATTTTATTTACCACACTGGACGAAATACAAGAAGGTTCAAGTAGGAGACGATTCTAAAATTTTAATCTTGTTTTACTATATATAAAATGTCAATTAGTTGTTTTAGTTCATTAAAATTAGTTTTAGTTAATTTAAAATTAGTTGTTTTACTAGATATAAAATGTCAATTAGTTGTTTTAGTTAATTGAAATTAGTTTTAGTTAATTGAAATTAGTTTTAGTTAATTGAAATTAGTTTTAGTTAATTTAAAATTAGTTGTTTTACTAGATATAAAATGTCAATTAGTTGTTGTAGTTAATTAAAATTAGTTTTAGTTAATTTAAAATTAGTTCTTTTACTAGATATAAAATGTCAAGTACAGTTTTAATAGGGTTTCCCAAAGGAGAAAAAAGCCACCTTAAATTTGAATCGATATGGTACACCTTGCAAAAAAAAAAGGGGGGGAGGGACAGTTCTATATCTCCCGTTCTACTTGACCGATTGTCGAAATTTTACTTGCTTTTCCATTTCTCGAAAGCGCGATTTAGGATATATATTCGATTAATATATGCCATTATTCTAACATAAATATTTTGATAAAAAATCGGACATTTTCTGAAATAACATACCCACTTTTTTATCATATTTCGATTCTACTACTCAAATGATACCGAACTGCCGAGTTTTGCAAAAATAGTGGTTTTTAAAGTGTAGTTTTTAAAAAATTAACTCTCAAAATTTTAGCTCCTTCATGTTAATTTAATTTGGTGTATATTTATTAATATAAATTCTTTTTATGAAACTTTATTATTTCCTTCTTCCAGAATTCAAAATTTAGGCTCCTTTCAAATAAAATTCACCCATTTTTTATGATTTATTTTTAAAATTTGTATTTTGAAAAATATTTATAAATTACATTTTACGAGAACTTACCAGAATCAATGGTGGTATGAGTAATATCCAGGCGCTAATGGTTTCTCTTCATAGATCGGAATGGCAACTTTGGGTTGATATACTGGCACAACAGGTTTGTGTGAATATACTGGCAATGGAGCAACGACGGGCTTATGTTCATATGCCGGTAAGGGAGCTAGAACAGGCTTGTGTTCGTATGCTGGTAGTGGAGCTACAACAGGCTTGTGTGCATATACTGGCAGTGGAGCTACGACGGCCTTGTGGGCATAGCCAGGAGCAATAGGTGCAGCGTAGTGTCCACCTCCGTAGCTTGAAGCGTAGCCGAGCTTTCCGTGGTCTTGTTTGCCGTAGCCGTGGTGTGCGTAGCCAGACTTTTCGTGTGCACCATGACCGTACTCGTGTCCTCCGTGCTTGTTGTGAGCTCCATAAAGCTTGTGGCCTTGTTCGTCATGGTGGCCAGCATTCTTTAAGAATAAAATTAAGGGGATATGGATTTATTAATAATCAATCAATAAAATAAAAACAAATGCTAAAATCTGAAATCTTTCAGAATTTAAATTACGTCCAAAGGAGCATTTTGTTTAACCCTTTGTTGCATAATGTCCATTCTAGTGGACGTTAAAATTTTTTTACTCTTCTGTAAATGCCTTAACAGATTCCGTTCCTGTGTTTATTCATTGTATATCATTAGAACTTTCAATTATCAATCATACAAGGCAGCACAGCATCACTGGAAAAAGTATTGCTATTTGGGGAAATGGCTGCTACTTCTGTTTCCAGGTTAGTACGATTTCTCATAGTAAACATGGCATAATATGACCTACAATTTCTTATACTGTCATTTTTTATTCATTCTCATTTTTTATCATTTGTCATTTTTTATTCATTCATCTTATACTATCTTATACGATTAGTAATTTTAGACATATTATTTTAAATGTGAGTTTGCAAAAAATTGTTGAGAAGAAATCACACAATGAACATATTCATGCATTAAATGTAAAGTGTATTTGTGTATTGATGGAAAATCTGATTGTTTTTATCGTTTTCACCATCAAGATGCTTAAAAAATAATCAAAAGATATGTTTATACATGTACGTATATGCATGCTGTCCACTGTAGTGGACAAACTGCAGCAATTATTTAAAAGGTAATTAGAATAAAATTGATTTTTTTTATTATTACTAAGGCTATTTTAAGTGGGAAAAACACAAACATTTTCGTTTAACTTCTCCATATTATTTATATGCAACAAAGGCTTAACATTTTGTTTGTTGTCTTTATTCATTAGTCCAAAGGGACTTTGTCCCTGAAAGACTATTGTTTTCGTTTTGCAATTTTGCGTTGGTTCACTATAAATGTCGGTTCACTTTTCAAACTGTTGCCACTCAATGTTAGAGTCCTGCATTATATTTGAAGATATTAAATAATGAAAAATCTGCATAAATATATATATATATACGAGTATTTCTCGCATTGTGACAAAACAACGGTACCTAGAGCCTTCGAATTTTCAATGACGTTATCCTCCTACGAATATGGGCATGTGGAAGTCCAAATTTGAAAATTGGAATTTGTTTTATGATCGACTTCATATTTTGTAAAACTTTAACAAATTTTTCATTAAAAAACTGAAGGATTTCATACAGAAAAAGCATTTTTATCTCCAGCGAGTGAGACTGCATATAGGAAATTCTAAAGAAAGGCTCAATTTAAAAGAATTTTGCGATATTGCTGATGAACTGAATTTTATGGTTTAAGTGCGAAGAACGTGATATATAATAAATAAAGGTAACAGACAAAATGTAAAAAAAAAAAAAAAAAAAAAAAAAAAAAAAAAAAAAAAAAAGCCCCTTTTGGCCGTAATTTAAATCTGAAACCTTTAAGATTTTTTTTAAATATTATGTTCTTTGCACTTAAACCATAAAATTCAGTTCAACAGCAATATCGCAAAATAATTTTAAATATGAAACAGCAGCAATATCGCAAAATAATTCATTAATAAATAAATATTAATTCTAAAGATAGGCCTATCTTTAGTATTTCCGATACACAGTCTCGCGAGCTGGAAATAAAAATAATTTTCTGTACAACGTTGCCATGGCTCACTTTGAAATCCTTCAGTTTGTTAATAAAAATTTTCTTAAAGTTTTACAAAATATGAAATCGACAGCAAAACAAATTCCAAACTTCTAGATGTCCATTATTCGCAGCAGGATAACGTCATTCAAAATTGGATAGCTTTCGGTACCGTTATTTTATCACAATGCGATAAATAAACATACGTTTATGTAGATTCTTCATTATTTAATTTCTTCAAATATAATGCAGGGCAAAAATATTGGGCGCCAACAGTTTGTAAAGTGAAATGGACATTCAGAGTGATTCGACGGAAAATAGCAAAGCGAAAACAATAGTTCCTCAGGGACAAAGTTTCCATTGGACTAATAAAATGAAGAGGATATGGATTTACGTTTGTATTTCTAAATTGATGCATTCAAATTAAACGAAAATAGGTAAAGAAAGTAGCTAAGCTTTTTTTTTTTTTTTTTTTTTTGTTTAATAACTAAATATCTTGATTGAATAAAATTGAAGTCAAAATTTTTGTTTTTAAATTTGAATCCTTTTCGTTTAGTAGTTTTATAAATGTAAAATTTTGGACGCTGGACACATTTCAGTGAGATAATTCTAATTTTCTGACACAACATATTTGTACCAAGACCTCTGCTTTCATGAAATAGCTCATATTTCAGATCCAACAGAAAAATATCGTTGTTTATAACTACAAGTGTTTAAAGAATATCCCAAGAAATTACACCGTTTGTTTAGTTTATTCTGCCTGCGTCAATGTTAAAACCAGCATTAAAAGCATTAATGCTATTTTGCCTGCATTAATGCTACTTGTTCTTTCACCAGCTGTCAAAACAGAAAATCGTCTCCTCCTCGTCTCCCTACCTAGAAGACAAATTCCCTCGGCTCTTATCTGAAAATTAACAGAGTTTATTCCTTAAAAACACGCCTTCAAATGAGCAGTATTTCCATCGCAATACCAGCTGAAATTGGTAGGAAGTGCATTCCTAATTTCCTTCCTTGTAAGTTTTATTCACTATGTGTTTCTGATACAACCTTACTCTGCACAGAACATACCCAATTAAACCATCAGTTACCTCTTTTCGTTTTCGCTGCATTAGGGTGGGGGTTAAAAATTGTTTTTCTGTTCCTGAATTTTAAATTAAGTTCTGTATGTGGGATAAATCGCGAATAACAGTAAGTATTTAAGCAGCTGGTTTAGTGACTTAAGAATATATTTTTCTGTGTATTCTGAGAGTTAGCTTAGGGTAATATTTTATAAATGGATTGATTAATCTTTGTCAAAATACGAAAAGATTGATGACAGAACACTTCTGTGTTTTACTCGTTAAACTGTGTCCTTTCATTGAAAAGCTGTTTCAAATTTAGAAGGATGTTCCTCGTGCAAGCAGAGAATAATAGCATACAAATGGGGTTGCTGACTTCCGGGAAAAAAGCTTCTAAGGTTAAAAAGAATATTCTTACCGCTTTAGAATAAAAGGAAATAATATTCATGATTGATTTCGATTGTAATTTGGGGCAAAATTATGAATAATATCGATCATTTTTCAAAGAAGACGAACGATCTATATAATTAACTTCTGTCGAGCAGAATATCGTTACGTATTTGGTAATTAAATAGTTAATGTTAGTAGAATTATAAATAAAATTGTTTTATTCCCCGTGCAGTGCAGCGTGTGAAGAATATTAAAACAAAGCTAAGCTGGAAAATTAAAAATACAAGAGCACGCGCATTTAACATTTAATAAATAATATCTCTTTTTGATTTCGAGAAATTGTTAGAACAATCTCGCGCGCCATTTAAAAAGCTTATAAAAAGGAGGAAAACCTCTCAATTCGGTTAGTTAGTTGTTGTCTTAAGAGTTTGTTTAGAAAATTGCTCTTGTTGATTGTAGCGAATTCGCGGATTAGCTTTCTACAGCTGTTTTGAATTAAGTTCTGTTGAACGTTTGAGTAGTTAAAAGAGAACTACGGTAAGATATTACACTATTGTACAAATATGTGAGGAAATTTAAGCATTTGTTTTATTTATTTGGGATAATAATAAATCTTATTCATTTTTCATCGGACTTGCGCATTCAATTCATAACAAACCCGTACGCACGTAACAATATTTTTCTTTGAAATTAGGAGACATATTTCTTCTTTTTCATGAAAAAAGAATGTTATAGATTTCAAGAGATGTATTTTGAAACTTAGTTCAAAGGAGATATGTTGGACGATGCCCGAGCACATCCTTTGAGCATTTCCACAGATAAAACGCATGTAGAGACTTTCGTGCTCGTCTAGCAATGTATATTTCTCGAAATCCACACGGAAAATGACGATTTGCGCCAGCAGAATGCTTTTGTTAATTATCCAACAGTGCCCTGCACAACCTCAAAGCACTTTTTCCGCGCACATAATCCATTACAAAATCTGTAAATATGTTCCTTTCGCCCCCCCCCTCTTTACAATTTTACCTCTTTTACATTTATGGCAGATATTTCTGAATCACGTTGCACATAGATATATCTATATAAAATTGAAATTTGAATTTAACAAATATTCTCTATTCGTATTAAGCTAATTTAAATTAAAATTATGTATAGAGATATCAATATCTCTCTCTCTCCCTATATATATATATATATATATATATAAATGAATGCAAGGAAGGACTATTAAGAACCCTGTACCATGGCTGCAATGATGATTTAATTAGACATAATTAAAAGGGAAGACTCCTATTAAAATTCTTATATTTCAAAGTTAAATTAAGAAGCCCAATAAAATAAAAAGAATTACAATTTGAAGTCTAAAAAAATTTCAATTTACAAATTCGTAATTTTTAAGTAATATTAAAAAAAGGTTTGAATAGTTTATCATAATTTTATGCATATCCTTTACTATTCGCGATTGTTTGTAAAGCAATTTTTCTGTGCCGATTTTCCTTTTTCAATTTAATATTTTTAAAAAAACATTTTTTAAAATTATTTAAATTTTTATATATATTATTCATATTTACTTAAATTAAATATCACAAATGCTGTTGATATATGTCCCCAGAGCACAAATAAGACAGTCTGGGATCCAAAGCACTGAATTCTTTCCAAAAATCAAAGAAAAGAAGACTTTAGAAGCCTCCAATGGATATCTCCGTTTGTTCCTGGCTTAAAATTAAGGTTATGACAAATTATAGGATGATTTGGGAAGTTTCAAACTTAGAAATTTAGGTATAGGCCTTGCAGACTTAGTAAAGAATCGAGTTTTTCAATGTGAAAAGTGTTGCTTTTGCCAGGTTTGTGGATGTTTTTAAAATCAAAAGTTTTATTTAATCTACCCCAGTTAACTAAGTATGCTCTGTCCTTAAATCTTAAAAGAAATATTTACTTGCGCGCATTTGAGAGGTTCAAGTTCGATTCCCGGCGACGGCTACAGTGGCGCCCGAACTAAAAAGAGGGTAATGGTGAAATGGTGATGCTTCACCACTAGGATTTGGCAAGAGAAAACTGGCAGACAGACAGACAGAAAGAAGTACAGGTCAAAACATCTCCATGGGCAAAATTGATATCGCCCCACTGAACTAACCATCTATGGAAGAACATTTTCATGGGGCACGCTAACGCTGCAGCATTCATAATAGTTACATATTAATAGTGCATAATTTGCATTACAGACAATATTGACATAAGCTATACTTTACAGGGGTACTTTGCAGTTGCATGCATAAATACAATAAATACAATGGATAAATACAATAAGTTATTTACAGATATAATTATATATTTTTTCATTTGTGTTTCGCTTTGGACCTTTATTGGTGGAAGGAGTGATTATGGTACGCGGTTCGTTGTTTGTTTGGTTTTTTGTTACACAGTTTGCAGTTTACAAGTTCATTCATAGAGCAGTCCATATTGCAGGACACAGCTTATGAATTGATTCCATGGTACATAGTGTTGAGTGCGTAGTACTGGTGTATCTGTCACACATTGCACAGTATGAAGTAGTTCATAGTTCGTACGTATTTTGAGTACGTATGAGAAAAGGTCAGGTTTGTCTCAATAAATGGAGATATTAAGTGTGTTAAAGGCACTCCTGCATATTATGAGGGTGGAGACTGGATATTCTTATTGCTGCATTTTCTGAAATTGGAGAAATATTTTGGGTTGTGTGATATGGATGACACAGGTCCAGTTCTTGACGGTGTAGGAAATCGATAACATTTTTGAAGTTTTGGAAGACTTTATAGTGGTTAATGATGAATCTTCTAACCTGGCAAGAGCAACGCTTTTTCACATTGAAGAACCGGCATTAGAACCCGATTCATTACTAGGTCTACAAGGTTTATACCTAGATTTGTAAGTTTGACACCTTCCAAATCATCCTATAATTTGTCATAACCTTGTAGAATCATTAGGTTATTTTTTGTAAAGTAGGAAAGATGAAAAATGAGGAACGCCTTCACCGGGAATTGAACCGCGGACCTCTGGAATACGCACCCAGCGTGCAGACCACCACACCACGAAGACATTCCAAGAAGGAGGGAGAATACCTTATAACCTTAATTTTTTGCCAGGAACCAAGAAAAATGTTTATTGAAGGCATGTAAAACTCTTCCTATCAAATAATTAAAATAATGTTGATAATAATAATAATTACGATAAAATTACTGTTGAAAATTATAAAAGTTGCTTTGATGATTTTTAACAAGACTTTATTCTTTTAGGGAATTTTGTTACCTAATTTCGATAGTTTTATGCAACAACTGATTTTGGATTTAAGTAAGAATTAAAATTGTAAAACTGATTTCATCTTCGAACTCAACATTTATTTTATCAGACATAAAACAGAGGTACAACTTACCTTGTAACCGTGATGTGCATGATCGGAGTGGCTGTCGTGGTGACCAGACTTGTGAGCGTCGATGTCATGCAAGTGCACTTGCTTGTCATAAGAATAGGACTTCTCATAACCACTTCCGCTGTTCTTCACGAAAGCACCGTGTTTTCCTAAAGCGAGAAATGTGTATATTTTATAGAAATTTATTTTCAAATGATAGATTGTTTATTAGCCCAAAGGGCGTTAGCCCAGAAGGGCTATTATATTCGTTTTGGCATTTTGCGTCGGATCCCTATAAATGTCAGTTCACTTTTCAAGTTGTTGCCACCCAATATTATCGCCCTGTATTATATTTAAGGAAATTAAATAATGAAGAATCTGCATGAATATATGCATGTTTCTCGGATTGTGATAAAACAATGGTACTTAGAGCCTTCCAATTTTAAATAACATAATCCTTCTGCGAATATAGGCATCTGGAAGACCGAAATTGAAATTTGGAATTTGTTTTATTATCAGTTTCATATTTTGTAAAACTTTAACCAATTTTTGATTATAAAACTTATAGGGTTGCAACCTTGGATTTACAGCTATGTATGTGGAACCTCCAGAGCTGGTAAATTAATTTCAAAGCGAGCCATGGCAACGTTGAACAGAAAAAAAAAACATTTTTATCTCCAGCGCGCGAGACTGCGTATCGGAAATTCTAAAGATACGCTCAATTTATAATTATTATTTTGCGATATTGCTCTTGAAATGAATTTTATGATCTAAGTGCGAGAAACATGATATTTGATAAATAACGGTTTAAAAAAAAAAGTTAAAAAAAGCGCCCCTATGGACTTAATTTAAAATCTGAAACTTTTCAGATTTTTCTTTTTTTTAAATTTCTTTCTTATATTTATGTCATGAATATTAGAATTATATAATTCGATAAAAGGATAAGAATGCATGACTGAAATAGGAGCGTGTGCGACTATCTGCGTAGAGTTGGGGAATTATCGATTGCTATAATTTCATCTAGAGTTTTTCACGATGATTTAAGTGCGAAGAACATGATATTTAATAAATAAAGGTTACGCAAAACTTTAAAAAAAAGTTCCTTGGATTTAATGTAAAATCTGAAAGCTTTCAGATTTTTTTAAAAATATTTAACGTTTTCTTTATCGGCAGACATTATTATATATGTATACTAGAATTTTCTTTACCTTATGTCTGTATTCAGTTCATTAAAGGATAAGTAATATTTTAATGGATTAAAAAAATAGAGGGAAAATATGCATTTTCTTAAATTTTCTATCTATCGGTAATTACTATATAAATGTTTCCTAAAGTTCGAATAGTTCGTAATATCAATATAACTGAAAAATAATGCCTACTTCGCACTGAAAATACCCGCTGATCCGAATTTTTTTAATCAGTTTTTTAATCTGCATATGGTACAATGTTTAAAACCTTAAACTATATAAATTGTTTTAAAAATAAATTTGCAGGAGTTTGTCAAAATAGTTTTGAGATTAGATGATTTAAAAAATAATTATGTAGATATTAGAGAAGAAGCATTTTGTTATGTGAAAACATAAAAGCAATAAACATAGAATTTATTTAATAACTAGCGGAAGTACCTCATGGGATTAAGTTAGATTGAGAGTAATGGATCTAACAAACAGAGAGAACGAGACCGCTGTAATCCTTCTCTAATAACGATGCAAAAAATACGATTCACAGTCAGACAGTTTTCACTCTGATGCGATATGAAACCCACACAAAGAATTTTCATAGAAAAATAAACTGATTCTTCATTATATCATCAAGAATGACATGCAATTTTGAATCAGTTTCGTCTTTTTAATCAAATGATCCTAAAAGCTTAAGTTCCATCCAATATTTCACCTATATTCAATTTGAGTCTATTAAATGTGGCAAAAAATGGATCAAAATTGATCAGAAATCTATATCGCAACAAACAAACACACAGACGTTCTTCTTTATATGCATAGATTTTGTAAAACTTGCGCATTTTGGATTAAAAAACTCTACGATTTGAAAGCGAGCAGTACAGTTAGTTTCGAAATAAAGCATTTTTATCTCCAACGCGCGAGACTGTTCCACTCGCAAAAATGAGTGCAAAAATGAGCGCTTTCAGAGTTTCTAATTAATATCTCGGCTGATTAAAGTCGTACGAAGATGGAAACAGTCCAAATGGCTTCCCACGAATTTTTGGAATCGGGAATAAAGCATTTGAGATTTGGCATATGCTATTTTATTTTCATAGTAAAAATTAGAAATATTTATTAACAAACTATAGGATTTGAAAGCGAGCAGTGGGCAACAACTTTCGAAATAAAACAGATTTTCATCTCGAGCTTGCGAGACTGTTGCCACTGGAAAAAATGAGGCCGAAAAGGATGCTATGGTAGTGGCTGAGTTATTAGAGGTCAAACACACATACTTTCTTCTTTATATGTATAAATTTGAAAAATTTTGCTTACCATAGTGGTCGTGGTGGCCTCCGTGAGATCCATGCGCACCATGATCTCCATAGGAAGCGAGTAAATGAGATCCATGTTTTCCGTATGCACTTTTGCCATCTTCTCCATGGTCGGCATAGTGTTCACTTCCGTGGGACTGGTGACCTTTGGAAAGCTGTCCTTCAGATCCATAACCGTGACTACTGTGTCCGGCTGCATGGACAGGAGCCGGATAGTAATGGTGGGGATAAGGAACACTTTCTGCAGCTGCTAAATCCTCAGATTTGTCTTCTGCTAGGACAGCTGTGAAGAGGATGATAGCTAAAGCAAGTACCTAAGAAAAACAAACACTTTTCTTATTATGCAAATTAACCAAACATAATGTTTACAAATATTTAACACACAGCTAACTTTACCGAAAAATAAGCGAAATTTAAAATATTTACGTATATGTATAACGTATTATACTATGTATAACGTATTACTATGTATAACGTATTTATATGTTATACATAGTAATCTCGTTTTTACTATGTATAGTGTATTTATACATAGTTTTCGTAAAAGATGGTCATAACGTTAAATTCCTTTGTTTTCATACTAGATAGATGCGTACTTTCATTTATAAAGATCCCGAAAGTAAGGAACACAGTACTAAAACAACTTCGGCGCAGAACTTCGAATTTGAAAATATTTTAAATTACAACTAAAAATGCGAAACAGATACGCACAATCTAAGCCTAAAAAAAAAAAAAAAAAAAAAAAAAAAAAAAAAAAAAGATATTAGTGCGCTAAAATCGCTTTTATGATTTTTAATAAATAAAATGTAACGAAGCAAAAAACAAGATGCAGTTAACAGCTAAAATAGAATTGTAATTTGTTGAAAAAATATTTCTTTAACATGAGAAAGAAACATACTGATCGTTTGAAAATGAGCAAATTGAAATTTGAACTCCATAAAATAGGAAACAAGATATATAACGTGCGTTTCATATATTAGTATATAGATATAGCATAATATTTGTAAATTTTATAAAATATCCTGACAGGTAGAATTTAAAAGAAAGTAGAAGACTGCTAAAGATATCGAAGAACTAGTCAGTTAATTAACGTCTTAGAGTTCTTATTTCTAAATCATATTCATTTATTGTGATTCTTAATAGTAAATTTACAACAGCGTGTTAAGTGACGAAGTTAGTTAAGCTATCAGCATTTATTATTACCTATCCCACAGAAAACTTGACGTAGAAAGTTTTTCGTAGTGAGGTAGAATGTTTCGTTCCCGTAGAAAACAAACGTAGTAGTTTCACTAATATTTCGTTTTTATGTGTTTGAAACTGTGCAGTATTACTCTACGGACATTATTGTTGGTAGAAATATTTCTAATGTAAGTTTTAGCTATTGAATTTTGTAATAGTCATTATTATGGCATATATAATATCGCACTGCTTCGAACAGTACTACATTTGTAACGAATTTTAGAAGCCTAAAATCAAAATTCAGCCGTTTAATTTGTTAGTGGATTTTGATATTTATTAGACCAAACTATCCTAATAATATCTTAATACGTTTTCTAGTCGACGAAAAATTATTTGACGCAATTAGAAATTTTTCATCCCATTTCCAAATGAGTCATCACTTTTTGTGTGTGAAATCTCACTCGTCATTAATGTAACTTTTCGTAAAAAATTCTAATAATATCCTTCGCATTCGAGTACTAGTTGACTTCAAAAAACGTTTTAACTGTTTTTTTTTTTTTTTTTTTAATTTTAAAGAAATAGTATTTTATTTTTACAATTCGATTTGATTTCTTCTCTGGATATATTTATACATTTAAATTCTCTAGATATGTAATTCTAGATAAATTTGTAGATATGTAATAGATATGTAGTTCTCTAGATAATTAATTTCCTAAATATGTTTATACATTTAAAATACTTAAAAAAATTCTCTTTGATGTGAATTCTAAATTTCTGCAAAGTTATGCAATGTATAGTTATACCGAGGGGGAAAAAAAGAAAATAAATAAAAAGAAAGATTAAAGAGAAAAAGTAAAAATTAAAAATTAAAAGATAAAAGAATAAAAAAATTAGAAAGATAATAATAAAAATAATGAAAAATAAAAGTTTACAAGAAAAATAGAATGGAAAAGATTAAAAAGAAAATAATTTCTGTCGGAAAAACAATTATCGTTTTTCTCTCATATGGAATATAATAAATATTTTTCTATAATTAATATGAAAAGGAACTGAAATTAAAGTATTCAATTACACTAGAAGTAAATAATTACAGTATAAGAAATATAAATTTCTCGTCAGTTTGTGATTATTGCTTCCCGGATATTTCTCTTATATGATGGAATGTTCACACCACATCCTCCACGACTGCAAAAAATTTTCTATGGATTCACGTATATCCTTGAGTATATCCTTCTGAAATCCTAAAATCATAATCACAAGATCTTACCTCGGTCCTCATGTTGATGGCTTGATGGTCTTCCGAATCAAATATGGTGCTTGCTGACGATGAACGTTTATATACTCACTCCTAAAACTATGAGATTATTTCCTTTGCCTTTCCCCTCTCCCACCTCTCTCTGATGTCTAGCGAGCCCTTCCTAGCCTGAGCCCTCCCCCCGAGAGGACGTAAAGAATTCCTGCCCCCACTTCCGGCGAGAAAGTTGTAGTGACCTCGCATCGACCAAGTAGGCCGCAGATTGGACAAATCATTATCTAACGTTGAATCTATCATTTCTTTTATTGTTATTGTTCTAAAACTTTTTTTTTTACTCCTCCCCCCTTTTGTATCGACAAGCTTACTTTCCTTTTCGTCAGGTGGCGTGTCGAAGCGGCTTTGACCTGCTTGCCATAGTCTTGCAGATTCTTTTTCTTTCACTTTGCTTGCTCAAGAAAGAATATCTATGATAAGAAAAGCCGAACAAGCTTATGGAATAATGGGATAGTTCTTTTTTTTTTTTCGCTGATGTTGATGACTTGGTTTGAATAGCAATGGAGCCTATGTTTGTTTTTTTTTTTCATTATCTGTTTTATGACCCCTCCCATTATGTTTTCACTTTCGTGATTTACCAAGAAATGAAATGACGCGTTGTGCTGTGCGTTTCATAACTGTAGCAGCAGACTTTTATTTTTCCAAAAATCTATAATTATAAGCGCTCAGAATGAGTCTGATTTGCATCAAATAATTTAAAGTGCATTTGGCAGCTTTTTATAATACATTATTAGTCCAAAGGGACAATCTGCCCTGAAGGACTATTCATTTCGTTTTGGCATTTTGCGTCGAAAACTTTAAAAGGCTGTATCACTTTTCAAATCGTTGCCACCCTATATTATCGCTCTGGCTTATATTTAAAGAAATTAAATAATGAAGAATCTGCATAAATGTATGTATGTTTCTCGTATTGCGATAAAACAACGGTACCTAGAGCCGTGAAAATTTGAATAACGTAATGTTCCATAGAATCTGGGCATATGGAAGCCCTAATTTGAATTTGAAATTTGTTTTATTACCGATTTCAGTTTTTGTAACGCTTCAACGAATTTTTGATTAAAGAAGTAAACGATTTCAAAGCGAGCAATGGCAACACTGTACGGGGGGGGGAGGGAATTTTTAATGTTTCAGATTTTAAATTACGTCCAAAAGGGCGTTTTTTTAACATTTTGTGTATTACGTTTATTTATTAAATATCACGTTCTTCGCACTTAAAACCATAAAATTCAGTTCAAGAGCAATATCGCAAAATAGTTTTAAAATGAGTCTATCTTTAGTGTTCCCGATACAGAGTCCCGCGCGCTGGAGATTTATATTAATTATGCTTTATGTAATGAAAAATAGTTAAAATTTCGTTGTCAAGATATGTAACGAGATGCGTAATCTATATCATTTGGAGTACTTTTTATCAGTTACATTAATGGATTCAGAAGTTTATAATAATATCAGTTTTATGAAGTTTCTAACGGCTTTAGAGTTTTCATTTCAAAACAGTATAAAGTTAGTAACTTTAGAGAGTTATGAACGTTGCTTACTTAGTTCAGTAATATTCGAAAAGATAAGTGCTTTGAGTATCTTCTAGTGGCAAAATACTCGGAACCTAGCAGTATGTGTCCACGGAGATGATAAATGCAAGATTTTATACTTCTGGGCTGGCAACACATGAATGACAAGATGCTTAGATGATAAAAGCTCTGGTAAAGTAGCGTAAAGGACTTGACAACTGAAAAGGCCAAGCTACAGATTTTTCTAAGATAGAATGTTAAAAACAAAATGTTGCCGTTACTCAACAGCAAAATGTGCGAAGCTTAATGGATGATTGTAAAAAATATCCATCTTCTATCTGGAAGAATAAAATGCGTATTTTTGCTCCAAATGTAATTGCAAAGGAAATATCCTAATGTTAAATTCAAAAGTTTGAAATAATTCATTGATTAGAATTATTGATTGAATCATTCATTCATTGATTGATTTAATTCATTGATTGATAATTTGAATTAGGGTATCACATGCCACTTTTTTTTTATTTGATAAATAAGTATAACAGCAAAATGTTCAGAACAAAGACAACCAGTTAAGGTAGGCATTAAATGAGGCTTCATTCTGATAATAGAAATAAATTATTGACTAATTCCTATGTGTAGGAAAGTAGATATGCTGGTTTTTTCCTTCACTGAAAAGATTTTAATTTGGGCTGAGAATAACTAGGGATTCCCCTCGTATTCGTAAGATTATTTACATACCTTCCACAGGAAAAACAGTCGGAGATTTAAGCAATTTTGGAGAAATCATGGTGTAAAAAGTTACGAAAGTAGGAAAGATACTAGCTACCTAACCTTGGAGCTCGCTGCCGCCCAAAAGGCATAATGATTAGCGACTCGGACTACCGTACCGAAGGGCCCGGCTCGAATCCAAGAGAAGGCATGGGTGTTCGTGTTGTTGTTATTTATACTCATTTGTCTGACAGTAACATCAACCAAAGGCTACAAAGGGATTCAATCCTTGGTGGCGAGGAGCGCAAGATACGCCTGTCATGGCCTGTCCTTTCATGGAGGTAAGAAAGGTTCATGGAGGTTCGTGTTGTTGTTACTTATACTCATTTGTCTGACAGTAACATCAACCAAAGCCCACAAAGGGATTCACTCCTTGGTGGCGAGGAGCGCAAGATACGCCTGTCATGGCCTGTCCTTTCATGGAGGTAAGAAAGGTTCATGGAGGTTCGTGTTGTTGTTACTTATACTCATTTGTCTGACAGTAACATCAACCAAAGCCCACAAAGGGATTCACTCCTTGGTGGCGAGGAGCGCAAGATACGCCTGTCATGGCCTGTCCTTTCATGGAGGTAAGAAAGGTTCCTGGAGGTTCGTGTTGTTGTTACTTATACTCATTTGTCTGACAGTAACATCAACCAAAGCCCACAAGGGATTCACTCCTTGGTGCGAGGAGCGCAAGATACGCCTGTCATGGCCTGTCCTTTCATGAGGTAAGAAGGTTCTGAGGTTCGTGTTGTTGTTACTTATACTCATTTGTCTGACAGTAACATCAACCAAAGCCCACAAAGGGATTCACTCCTTGGTGGCGAGGAGCGCAAGATACGCCTGTCATGGCCTGTCCTTTCATGGAGGTAAGAAAGGTTCCTGGAGGTTCGTGTTGTTGTTACTATACTCATTTGTCTGACAGTAACATCAACCAAAGCCCACAAAGGTATTCACTCCTTGGTGGCGAGGAGCGCAAGATACGCCTGTCATGGCCTGTCCTTTCATGGAGGTAAGAAAGGTTCCTGGAGGTTCGTGTTGTTGTCTTATACTCATTGTCTGACAGTAACATCAACCAAAGCCCACAAAGGGATTCACTCCTTGGTGGCGAGGAGCGCAAGATACGCCTGTCATGGCCTGTCCTTTCATGGAGGTAAGAAAGGTTCATGGAGGTTCGTGTTGTTGTTACTTATACTCATTTGTCTGACAGTAACATCAACCAAAGCCCACAAAGGGATTCACTCCTTGGTGGCGAGGAGCGCAAGATACGCCTGTCATGGCCTGTCCTTTCATGGAGGTAAGAAAGGTTCATGGAGGTTCGTGTTGTTGTTACTTATACTCATTTGTCTGACAGTAACATCAACCAAAGCCCACAAAGGGATTCACTCCTTGGTGGCGAGGAGCGCAAGATACGCCTGTCATGGCCTGTCCTTTCATGGAGGTAAGAAAGGACTTCCTACCTCCATGCTGTCTTTGGCAAGAGCCTGGAGCACCTTACTGATGACAGCTCAATTCCGCCCCAGTTTTGATTAAGAGTACCCCCGAGGGTCCCCCACCCTTCTTCCCTTCCTCAAAACCACATGAGATGGCTATACATTTACAAACGGGCGCTATACATTTACAAACATTCACGCCTTCTCCGGGATTCGAACACGGGCTCTTCGGCATAGCAGCCAGCGACGTAAACCACTATACCGGTTGGGCAGTATGGATGTTTGTAAATGTAGTGTTCTTTTGCGGCATGTTGGAACTCTAAATTTATGGCGAGCCGGAAGTCCTCTCGCGTGGTTTGAAGTAGATGAAGAGGGTGGGAGGTTTCTTGGACTCAACTCTTCGGGTGCTGTCCCTCAAAATTGGAGTGGAGCTGGGCAAAATCATGCTGTCACGGGTCATACGGTGCTGGAGGGGGTCTTGGCAACGACAGACGTAATCTAGCACTCCTCGCCAAGATGAATTTCGTGGGCTTGTTCTGATGAGGATAGAAAAGTGAGATCAGTCACAAAAACAATATGAAGCTTGTTAGAAAATGGTATTTAGTTTAATGCTTCCTAACATGTACTTCTTTTAAACCGTAATGCGCTTTACGTTAATCACATTTCAACTTAACTTTCATAAACTTTAAAAACAGAATATGAAGTAAATCGTCATCATTTCGTAAAACAAGCATCGTTTATCTGAAACCTAGATTTGAAGCTCAGAAAGAGTTGTCAGAAGTTGAATAATTTGAATCTGATAAAAGAAGATGTAAAGTAAAGCTTCTTTAAGAAAGAATATACTCGAAATTACCATTCGAAATGAAACTCAGTTTTACTTTTTAGTCCAAAGGGGCTTTGTCCCTGAAGGCCTATTGTTTTCGTTTTGCGATTTTGCGTTGGTTCACTATAAATGTCCGTTTCACTTTTGAAACTGTTGAGATCCAATGTTAGAGTCCTGCATTATATTTGAAGAAATTAAATAAGGAAAAATCTGCCTCAATGTATGTATCTTTCTCATTGTGATAAAACAACGGCACATAGAGCCATCCAGTTTTGAATAACGTACGTTTCCGCACGAATATGGGCATCTGGAAGCCCAAATTTGAAATTTCTTTTATGATCGATTTCCTGTTTTGTAAAATTTTAACGAATTTCTGATTAACAAACTCAAGGATTTCAAAGCGAGCCATGGCAACGTTTGGGCAGAAAAACATTTTTATCTCCAGCGCGTGAGACTGTGTATTGGAAATTCTAGAGATAGGCTCATTTTAAAACTATTTTGCGATATTGCTCTTGAACTGAATTTTATGGGTCCAGTGCGAAGAACGTGATATTTAATAAATAAAGATAACAGACAAAATGTTAAAAAATGCGTCT